GGACAAACYGGGAGATGTCCCGGTGCCTCGGAGCGGTCACGACAGGCCCCTCCTCTCCGAGGGATAAAGCCAGAACACAAACCAGGAGAGGAAGGACGGGGTGGCCTTTGCCTGGGCACGGTGACAAGTTGTGGGTCACGGGACACAAGGTGTTGCTGCTGGTGCCTCCGTTTTCCTGGCGGGAAGCGCATCTGGCCAGCCCTGAGCGAGCTGCCTGCTCAGATCGGACCTCTGGGGATTAAAGACACTCTTAACGGTGTGATGTTTGCATTGCATGTGGCTGTGCTGCGAGTGATTGCAGGACCATGGGCCTTAGAAGAGATATAAATACTACCTTGGGGTGTCCTTCATCTAAATCCCTTTGTGAGGCAGATGAGATGATAAGCACTAAAAGACACGAYACCTTACTCTGCAAAAATCACCTTGCAGTTCATAAAGCAATGAAAGTGTCCCATCTCCTACAGCAGTTTCCTGTCAATTCCTGTTTAAGTTTTCAGTAGGAGCTCATGTACACATCTGCTTCCGGGATCTGGCATTTCCTGTTGGACTTGCCACAAGTCCCAAGTCTAACACTTAAAACTGATTTTTAGGGAAACCATCAGTGGTATGACTTCTTCATCTCACTGCATTCCGGGATCCTTTGCGCAAGAGATCAGATGATGCAAACTCATGTATGAGCCAAGCATCTTACAGCATCAGAAGGGCCCTGAGGAAAGGCAGAGTAAATTGGTTTCTCTTTCCTKGAGCTCATCTGCACTGTACAATCAATTGGAGAGGAACAAGCAGGAAATGGGTGAGCCATCAAAAAGATGYCCCAGATCAAATTAAACTGGAAAAGCCAAAAGACCTTGGTCATCAGGATGTTCTTAAACCAAAAGGGAGATGCAGTGTCAAGAGGGAATTTGGCTGTCTTGGAAGTGATCACCATTTTATAGCTTTAAGTCCTCAGTCTACAAATAAATTGCTCTGGATTTACCCAGAGTACTGAGCTCATTTCCCTTTTTAGCTGATAAAAGCTCGGTTGTCTGGAACTCCAACAGGCCAATTGTAAAAGCAGCATGTGGGAAAGGCTGATGAGTCACCAGCTCATTTGCTCAGCAGCCAGTAACAACAAACCCTTCACATTTCCTTGGGCCAACTTTGAAAAGCTCTGACTTCCACATCCCTGAGTGAGCAAATGYGCAGGTTGTGGTCTGATCTGCCTCCTCCTTCTCTTCCTCCTCCCCTCCCTCTTCCTCTCCTGCTCATCTCTGCCTTGTGCCAGTGCTGTGGCATTCAAAAAGGAGGTTACTCAGGAGCTGTGGCTTTCTCACCACACTCCACAGTGCTTCCAACCGTGGAGCGGGAATGTGATTTTTTTTCCTGAAGATTGGCAGCAAATGGTTCCCCATGAACTGGAAAGATGGAGCAGCTCAGTCTTYGCAGATTCCTCACAGAGGGTGCGAGGGATGACACCACAGCAGGGAAGTTAAAACTGCTAATATTGTTTGGCAGCACTTCACAAGATCAAATCAGCACTTGGTTTTCCAGCAGAGCACTTCCAAGAAATCCTACTGGTGATGAAAGTTCCTAGGTAGATAAAAATATCTGAGGTCCAGGCTGTAATGCAACCACAGCAGAATASAGTCTTGGGAATTCYGCTAGGAAATGTCCTGTACTGGCCMYTAGCATGAAACAGACACCAAGTTTAGCATCCTCCCCAGTCATTTTTATTTCAAAGAAGAAAACAGGARCCCTGAAAAGTCCACCAGTTACTGAGGTGTTTTCTGTCCATAAAATGAACAAAGTCATGGAAACCTGGCAGATAATCACTSCTATGATACAGCCTGACCCATGGCTGAGGCAGGAGCCCACCTGGAAAATTGGTTCAGTCAGACAGAAAATGGAGTTTCATGAGTGGACAACAGGGAGCAAAGAATAACAGTATTGATTTCCCTGAGTGCTGCCAGGAGYGAGAACTGCAAGCTGCCAGCCAGGGCTCCATGGATGGGAAACTACAAGAGCCAATATTTAGGTGGAATTTCATACACATAAGTCACTTTTATCTCCTGCAGGGGACCTCTATTGCTRATTTAATGCTGAGTTCCTTTCACATTTCCTTTTATTTGGGACCATATTTCTCAGAGTAGGACAGCAGAGGCCACACTAATGCACTGCCTTTGGTCACGATTGGTGCCACCAGTGCTGGGCATGACCCTGAGCAGCCAGGAAAGAGGGGGACAGTACTGACTGCTGAAAGCAGAAGCTGTGCCTGTTGCACTGCTTTCTTCTCGGCACAGGAAACCTGGCAAGTGCCTCGATGCTCCTGATTCAAAGCTGGACTTCCTCCCTGGAACATGCAAGTTCCTTACACTCACTTCAGGAAGGGAGAGTTTAAAAGAAGCAGGAACAATTCCACAAAGTGATGACTGAGATTCTCCAAGCCTCTTTTACTCACACTTCTGAGAAAAGAACAAGAGTGTAGCAATATACATCAGTGAMAGCCCAGGACAAGCTTCCTTATTGCATCAGCAGGAGCACAGACCCTGCAAGGCACTTCCAGCAGTGCAGACAGAAAACACTGGTGGATTTACTATGTCAGAAATTCCTCCTCCTCTGAGCCCAGGGGTTTTGGCAGACCTGTTCAGCCTGGCTTCAACCTTCTACAGGATTTATTGCCTCTGAGCTCCTGCCAAGGTGATCACACGGATCTCATCCGGTTTCCARCGCTCCCAGGTGACTTTGCTCCCCGCCAGCTTCCGTGGGTGGGTACCCAGCAGGTGGCATCCACGTCCAATGCTTGTGCTGGAGCCTCACATTCCTGAGGGTTTCTCTTCTGCTTTATTGATCCCAGGATCTGTTTCTTCATTAATGCCTATTTTTCATTTAAATTTAAAATTTAACAATATTCACTGGTTTAGTTGTCCTTTAACTATTCTTATTCCTTACCAGAGTTCAGTCGCCATCCCTCTGCATTCAATGGCACAGCATGGGACCTTTATATAAAGATCACCAGGAAATAGATTTACTAACAAATTAAAAAAAAAATAATTGAGAACTGTCCATCTCACTAGTGGGTGGTATGTCTGGTCGAGGCTGGGAGAAATCAGGGCATCTCCAGAATCTTTATATTTGGGRAAAATAGGTTTTGTGGGAGGGAACGAGAGTGCTGAGTAAGTTCAATCAGAATTCCCTCATAACTTCGCTTTCCAGCCCAGTTATTTGGCAAGGAGAGACAGTGAATTTGGGTGCTACAGTCATCCTCCAACAATGGAAATGTTGCAAAATATGTAGCTCCACATATTAGGAAGGGATTAGGAGTGGCGAACCACAAGGAGTAGGAAGACAGAAGTATCCTTGGAGCAGAGCCTCGGGCACTATTGCAGAAACATGTTTTCTGGAGCAGGATTACAGCCATGTTACAGCCTTTGTTTGCYTGACAAAACCATAGATACAAACCTGGGTTTCCACATCTCTGTGCAGATCCTGCCGTGCCCCTGACTCCAGGAGCAACCATATGTGTATATGTATAAATCCAGATCTTATCAGCCAGTGAGAGTGTGGAGGATTCGGAATTGTGCTCCTTTCCCCACAGGCACTGAGAAGATCCATRTAGAACCTCAAACTGCTGGGAAGTTTGGAATTGGAGGTTAAGAGACCTGATGGAAAAAAACTTCTACTCAGTCTCTATCATGTTCTAAATCTTCTCTTCTCAGGTTTCTAAGGCTTGGATTACACCCAGGAATAGACTGGTGCTTATTAATTAATTCCTTTGAGGCTGTTCAGAGTCATATTTAACAACAGTCTTATTCTGGGTTTGTTGGTCCAGTGTTGCCATAAGGATGACAAGCAGGAACYGGTGTGGTGGATTACTTTGACTCCATGTTCTGCCTAATACAGCCTTGGCAGAGCAGATCCAAGTACCTGAAATGTGAGGGTTGGATCCTTTTCTGTGGAGATTTTCAAAGTACCTGCCTCTCTTAGGAGGTTCCTCCCAGTCTGAGTCATTAGTGGSTGCTTTACATTCTGGAACATGAGGTTTATGTCCCTCCAAAATGGAAAGGTGGAGAATACAACCCACAAAACTCTAGACCTCGATAATTAGACACCCACARGATTAATTATACCCTGTATAAAAAGAAAAGTGTAAAAAGCTGTTGCGAAAGCAATTCTTACCAGGTCTAAACAGCTGCCTTTCAGCGCCTCTGGCCAGGTAACAGCTGGATTTTCTAGYTCCTCTTCCTTCAGCAGATCCCAAAGCCCATTGCCAAAGAGGACACTTTCATTGCTCCAGATGAACCTGAGCTCACCTCACTTCCTGTCATGGACATGCTGGGACAGAATTTGACTCAGGTCCAAGCTGGTGCTGGGCTTCACATCATAACGCCCCCCCACAGAACTGCTGTTGTCTGACAATCTTTTCCCTTACTCTCATTTCTRCATTAAAAGGAATATCCCCAAACTCCATTCTTTCCTTCTGTGCATCCTCACTTACTCATAACACCACTGCCTTCTCCAGAGTGTCAATCACTGCACTGCAGTGACCAGAGGGAGCACAGACCTCYCTGCACTCTCCTGCCTTTGGCTCATATTGTGGTGGGAGCACATGAGCCATTTCCCAGYCCATTCCTTTGAATCCCTCTCTGTTTCAACTCAGTTTAATTCCAAACCACAAAGATCACTTTACTGCTAGGAAGAGCACTTGGATTGAAGTTTGTACTGAACAAGAAGCCAACATTTAGTTGGATACTACAAGGACAGGACAGTTCTCTGGAACGGAGACTGAGAACTCTCTCTTTAAGAATTTTGTACACACACTTTTTAAACTAAAAATTATTCCCTGTTAGTTTTCAGGGTAAACCAATAAACACAGAAAGAGTCGTATTAAGAAGCACTCAAAGGTGACCCTTGTTTGCAACAGCCCCACAAATTACCAGTGTTGTGTGCTCCTGTGCTGTGTGTGCAGGCAGCTCAGAGYAGGAGCCCTCCCAGCCCACCTCTGCACCACTGAGCTGGGACACGGCRTCCAGGAGAAGAAAACGCCAAGGCCACATCCCAGACTCCTCCTGCTCATGAAATGCACTTTATGGCTCTGCTGAGCCCATTCCTGATGAGTGCTGTGCCTGCAGSGACACTGGCAGCAGTGACAACACATTTGGAGGCTGGGAGGACCCCGTGCTTTGTGACCACGTCACTGTCACCCAGCTGAGGTACAAGCAGCAGTTTCAGATTTCCATGTAGCCAAGTGCTTCACAGCAGAGCCACAGCTGTCCCAGAAGAGGGGACAGCTGGGACAGACCCCCTTGCTCTATGCTGGGGGGTGCCCAGGGCTGAGCTAAGCACAGGAGCAGCCTGGGGGCACACACTGGTGAGCAAGACAGCGTCTGCTCTCTCCTCTGCCAACATGAAGTTCAAAGTCTGAATCAGTCATTTTCTCATTTTCCACCCAAAGGAGAACATGGCAATGRAGCTTTGGGCAGAAAAGGACAAAACAGAGTCTACTCCTGCTCTAGAATAATCTTAGGATAAAATCCCCGTGTCTTGAAACTGTGTTGTGAACACCCAGAAAGCTGAAAAAAAATGGTATTATTTTTGGCTGAAAGTCTTTATGGCTGATGCAGGAGCTCTCTCATTAGTTACTCATTGCCTCAGCAAGTCTCGTAAAACAGCCAACAGAGCCCAGTAAATACTTTTCTTCAGTGTTCTGGGAGCTCAGAAATACAGGAATTGAACGAGGCCTTGAACCCATTTTATGGACTCATTTCTTACTGAACCACCATAAAATATTAAAATTCAGATCCTATAAATAAGGAAGGGGAAGAASTGTGCATTTCCCAGCAGAAGCAGCCTCTCCAGAGACTCTTCCCAAGGTAAGTCCRGTGCTACCTGATCCAGAGACGGGTTCCCCTGACTGACAGGTGATTGGAGACAACAAACTCATGTAATGGAGATTAGAGACATAAAACCCCYTTGAATCTGCTCTGAACTGGAAAATGTCCTGCAACAATCGACTCAGTTTATTCCCTGGTGACCCTGTCCCTGCTGTGAGGACTCTCCCCAGGGTGTCTGATGGCAGCAGGGATTAACCCCTGCGAGCCCTGAGCACAGGCAGCAGTGCTGTGACCCTCTCTCCAACAGAGCCAGCTGGGCCCCTCCGAGATGGTGCAGAGACGCAGCCTCGCTGTCCCCTATGGAGTGCMCGTCCTTGCCATTTCCTTCTTGGCATGTGTGGCCACAGGTAAGCAATGGAAAAAAAAAATCCCTCATGGCTTTGTCCAGGCCCCATCACACCAGCTATTGAAACTGCTCAGGGCTGAGTGATGTGCCACAGCAGCATCCCAGCTTTTGAGTGTTCTGGAGGTCATCTCCAGAGGACTGTCTGAAAACTGGCCTCTGATTTTGAGAGTAACAGAGGAGGGAATGGGGAAAYGTCAGTGTTTTCCAGCATTATTGCAGCAGCTTCACAGGGATGATGAGGCCACAGTTTCCAAACCTGCTCYAAGCAGTGAGAAGTGTGATAGCTTTGGCCACCTGGGAACACCTTCAGACAGGGACCTTCAGACTTCTTTGAAAYCTGAAAATCTCAGTCCCTCCTCTAAGGTCAAGGCCTGGAAGAGTGAGCAGGACAGCTTTTGTGGTTAGGGTATGGCTTAGGATGTTTAATGTCCTCCTTCTTCTGCAGGTTTGGAACTGTCTGTAAATAACCACGCTGCTGACTTCACCCTGTCTACAATGCTTGGCCCTCCCGTCTCCCTCTCGTGCCTTGTACACAACAGCAGCCAGGCCGAGGAGCTGCTGTGGTACCGGGGAGATGGGCAAGTGGGTCTGAAAGATGGCAATAAAGTGAACATCAGCAACATCTGCATATCCCCGGTCAACGAGTCTGACAACGGAGTCACCTTCACATGCAAGCTGGCGCGGGACAAATCTGTGCAGGTGTCTGTGATCCTGGATGTCCAGTGTGAGTCTCTGTGGTGGAGTGCTGTGTGGAATGGCTGGGGTGGGATGGACTCGTGGGCTGAGCAGCTCTGTCTGGGCGGTGTTTTGCACCCTAGTACGCTGCCTTCACCAAGGAAAAATGTGTTTGGGAGGAGATAACTCACGTGATAAGACACTCCCTTCCCACAGTGGTGCTTATGGCCTGATCTAAGGCCTCTTTTATAGGRGTGGGTGGGCCCTTAAGAAAGATATCCTGGATATGTCCCTGCCTCCACCTAGATTCTTTCCCAAGGATACAGGTCAGGGCAGAGGAGACACAGGAGTGACAGTCTCTGCCACTGACTGTCCTCCCCATTCCCGGGAATCAGAAGAGGCTGCACTACTGTGATGATTTAGACCACCGAACAAGGAGCACAAGGGATGTGTGAAGGGAAYTTATTTTGTATTAAATGGCTGGGATTCTACAAGCTCCTGAAAGGAGGTTGGAGCAAAGTGGGGTCAGTCTCTTCTCCTAAGTAACAAGTGGAAAGAGGAAATGGCCTCAAGTTGTGCCAGAATGGKCTTAGATTGGGTATTARGGAAAATTCTTTCACTAAAARGRTCATCAATCYCTGGCACTGCTGCCCAGGGCAATGGTGGAGCCACCATCCCTTCGGGGATTTAAAAGATGTGTGAATGTGGCACATGGGGACATGGTTTACTGGTGGCCCTGGCAGTGCTGGATTAATGGCTGAACTCAATTTGAGAAGATTTTTCCAACCTAATGGTCCTGTGATTCCATGAGAAGCATTATTAATGACCCATTGAACTGCATTCCTGTGAACAGTTCCTCCCCAGCTGAGTGGAGAGGAGACCCTCCAGGTGGAAGAAGACAAAGATGTTACTCTGTCCTGCAACTCCAAATCCAACCCTCAAGCCCAAACCACCTGGTATAAGGACAACCACAGGCTGACCCTGCAGCAAAGCCGGCACGAGCTGTACCAGACCAGTGAGGTCTTTCAGCTCTCCATCAGAAAAGTACAGAAATCTGACCACGGGACCTACACCTGTGTGGTGGAATCACCCTTGGGAAATGGGACAAAGGAYTTCCACCTCGTAGTTGAAGGTAACAAGGCTGCTGTCAAATCAATAAGCTTTGCAAATAACTTTGTTCTCTTTGATAATGGCAACAATGCATTTCTATTAGGAAATGTGAGTGGAGTGTGGTAAATCCCCTGCACGGACATCTGAGGGCACAGCAACAGCAAGGAGCTCTCCCTGCACCTGTGTCTGGGACCACAGCACCAGGAAGGGTCTCTCCTGCTCTACTTGTTATTCAAAGGCATTTGGCAGGCATGACCCAGGGTGGGCTCATCCCACTCTTGCTCTTCCCACGCTGACAGGGTACACTCAAGTGTGCTTTAAAGCACCTCAGGTCTTACTTGAAGCATCTTGCTCTGACCAGAGTATTCTGTCATGCCCAAAGAGYTGCTTAAGGCAAGAGAAGTTGTGCTCCAGGAGTGACTGCAAGGGTTGGGTGCTCAGGGCTCAGACAGGTGACACTAGGTGAGGTGACCGTCCAGGCACCTATTTCCCACCTCTGTTGAGGCCTCTTTCCTTTCTGCCCTCTTTGCACTGACAGCTGTGTCATTGCTACCCTGAACATCCTTACTGAGCATAAAAGCACCTGGGGAATCTTCTTCTTCAGGAGCTGATGTTTCAATTCTTCTTCAGTTCACTCAAATACAGGCTCAGCTCCCTTCTTTCCAGGGGACTAACACACAGAATCAGTGAGCAGACAGCAGAGAGAGCAACAGTTAAATCAGCAGTGACAGCTGTGGAAAAAGAAATATGTCTTTCCACTGTCCTGTGAAATGTTCTGGGTTATGTGACTGCACTCATCTCTCACATATCCAACCTTTTCTTTCCTGACAGATAAAAAACCTGTTTTTCCCACGGAGGCTGTTATTGCTGCTGTAGTGGTGGTTACAATCACAATACTTTTTGGAATTGTGGCTCGAAAAGATAAATTTTTTAAGGTATGGAAAGCTCTAGTTTCATGGGGAAAAAATAGTATTGTTTGCTGCAATACCCTGTTTTTTTTTTCTACCTTTTCTATTCTGTTCCATAATGTTGCTTTTCACTGTTAGAAAGCTGCCACAAACTACCTCCTGCTTTAAAATTACCAACAGATAAATCAAGTATTAGATGTTTCACGTTGAAGGCATTATGTACTTGCAATATTTGTAACAATATCCCCACGGCCAGGAAAAGTGAAAAGTAACAACACTGTTTCTTTCTTTGCAGTGCTTCAAGAAACAAAGAGAAATAGCTCTGTAAGTATTTGACTGCTTATTCACATTTATTCCAAAAGAATTCATTTTTTTTTTAAATTGGCAGAACCTGGAAAAGGGCATTCAGCATGATAAACACACCCAGCTCTTGCTGGTGAACATCAGCCCACACCTCCTCTCCCAGCAGAGATGGGTCCTTGGAAACATGACAGGATACACACAAATCCTGCCCTTCCCTGGCCATCCCAGGGCCCATGTGGAAGCATTTGGGGGGAAAAAACTAATGTCATATCCCCAGCCTGCTGACAGCTTTCTAGAGCTGCACACTGAGCAGATGAATCCAACTAACTTGTGTTTTTTTTTTCTTCCTAGGAGCTGATTTTTCAGTTCTTCTGTTCATTTTGCTGCAGGTAAAGAACACCCARAAAACATCATTTCTAGTGGTCAGCCAGAGCCCTTGTGTGACATGATGAGATAAAACACTGAAACAATTTTTTGGGGGGTGAAGTTTATATGTTTTTCAAAATATTTTAAAATATTTCTTTGCATCTGTTGATTATAACTTGCTGCTCAGTGTCAGAATTGTTAGAACTGGTCACTAGGAGCCCTTCCTCAGAGCACCATTGAGGGGGTTATCTCTTGCCCTCCATGCTCATTCCATCAAGGAATGCATGTGCAGTCAGGCACGTGGGTTGTGGATGAGTCTGCAGAGAAATCTCTATTGGTCTGTGGTGCTGATGCACATGAATAAAGTGAGGTGTTGAGCTGACAGCTGCTTTCTGTCCTGCAGTGCCGTTCCACAGGGTGCTGGGGTGGTGGCCACCCAATTTCCTGCCTCTTCCCAGTGATCCTATGAGCCTCTCAGCTTCTGTTGCCAGGGTAAAAGCTGCCTGGCACTCAGCACTGCTGCTGCACCTCCTGTCCCCGTGGCTGAGACAAATCCCAGCGCTTGGGGCAACCCCAAGCTCTTGATGACACACAGTGACGTTCCAGTGTGATTGCTCCAGTAGTGTGATGGATGGAAAACCTCTCCATCGATCCCTTCCCCCAACAAATGTGCCACCCAAGCACTTTTCTCAAGGTCCTGGCAAGCTGTTGAGGCCTCATMCCACCTTGGAACAGTCCATTACTAATACTGTCAATAAACACTGTGCTATAAATCAATTTGAGACTGTGATGATGCACCAGGCGTGTTCTCAGAGGAGCAGGGCTGTTCCYCAAGAGGARGATTCCACAGCCTGTTCTGGAGTGTGATCCGGAGTGTGTGGACTCCCAAGCGCTCGGGGAGGTGCCTCAAGGTGCCAGAGAGGTGTCACCTCATGCTCCTGGGCACTCAGCCTCACTACCACCAGCTGTGGAGACCTGTTCCAAACGTTACTGTTAATCTGCGCAGTGCCGGGGGTGACACTGTGGGGGTAGAGCTGGGGACAGTGGGATGGGGATGCTCCGGCTGGGTGTCACTCACCCAGGGGTGACATCATGAGGATAGAGCTGGGGACAGTGGGATGGGGATGCTTTGGTTGGGTGTCACTCACCCCAAGGTGACACCGTGGGTGTAGAGATGGGGACAGTGGGATGGGGATGCTCCAGCTGGGTGTCATCACCCAGGGGTGACACTGTGGGGGCAGAGCTGGGGACAGTGGGATGGGGATGCTCTGGCTGGGTGTCACTCACCCCAGGGTGACACTGTGGGGGTAGAGCTGGGGACAGCGGGATGGGGATGCTCTGGCTGGGTGTCACTCACCCAGGGGTGACATCATGAGGATAGAGCTGGGGACAGTGGGATGGGGATGCTCCGGCTGGGTGTCACTCACCCGGGGGTGACACTGGCCCTGCAGGGCCAGCACCGATGCTCCTCAGGGCTGGGAGGCCGCGGAGTCCAGGCACTGTGGAAGGTTCTGGACCCAGGGTTGTGTGGGTGTGAGGGGCCGGTGTGAGGGGTCCGTGTGAGGGGCCGGTGAGAGGGGTCGTTGTCAGGGATCGGTGTGGGGGATTCGTGTGAGAGGCTGGTGAGAGGGGTCCGTGTGAGGGATATGTGAGAGGGGTGGGTGAGAGGGGTCGTTKTCAGGATTCGGTGTGGGGGATTCGTGAGGGATCGCTGTGAGAGGTCAGTATGAGGGGTCCGTGTGAGGGATGTGTGAGGGGTGCGTGTGAGGGATGTGTGAGGGGTTCGTGTGAGGGGCTGGTGAGAGGGGTCCGTGTGAGGGATATGTGAGGGGTCGTTTTCAGGATTCGGTGTGGGGGATTCGTGAGGGATCGCTGTGAGGGATGTGTGAGGGGTTCGTGTGAGGGATGTGTGAGGGGTCGGTGTGAGGGGTCCGTGTGAGGGATCCCTGTGAGGGATGTGTGAGGGGTGCGTGTAAGCGATGTGTGAGGGGTGGGTGAGAGGGGTCCGTGTGAGGGGTCGCTGTGAGGGGTCCGTGTGAGGGATGTGTGAGGGGTGGCTGAGAGGGGTCCGTGTGAGGGGCGGGTGAGAGGGGTCAGTGTGAGCAGTGCGTGTGAGGGATCG